AACAAACCAGCCACCCTCCAAGAACTCGAAAACAACATCATTGCCAAGATAAATGCCATAGAACCGACCATGTTGCAAAATGTCATTGAAAATTTCGACCATCGCGTGGACGTCTGTAAATCCAGTCGTGGTGAACATTTGAGCGATATTATTTTTCATACATAAATGGTATAAATGAATCTTCAAAATAAAGTACCCAACTTGATTTGAATATCAATCTTTCTTGTTTTAATATGCGTTTACTTACCTTATCAATTTTAGCCCTAGTTTCGTCCCTAGGATCAAAGCTATGATCAACGAGACTCAGTTTTTTCTCAGCTTCCGGATCCAGCAACTCGTTCTCAATGCACTTGAGTTCAGCCCTTCCAGGTTGGACGTCACTGATCCGACTTGTGTCAAACGGATCGTCAGCTTCTAAACCGTTCTGTTTTTCCTCCTCTCGTGGAGCGTAGAAAGGAGTTAGCGGTTTGATCACCTAGAAAAAGTTGGACACCTTGCTTAAGAAATGTGATATTATTCTCTTTTTCATACTCTTCAACGTTTCCAACCTAATTCCATGTAGTGCCGTCAGGTCGCCAAATAATTGGAATCGTATGCAGGGTCTTCGAAAAATAGACGGAGATATTTTAAAGGGTTATTCCTTGTTATACTATATGAAAAAAGTTTCCATAAACATGGACACAAATAAAGTTATACCTTTCCATCGAAAGCTACCCCTTCAGGTGAGGCGATATCAAACGAAACTGTCTTTGATCCACCGGAAATGTTCAGTACTTCGGGTCTGGAAACTGATCGTTCACGTTTCTCCTCAGCTCTAGGATCAAAATCAAAATCGTCATCTTCATCAACGATTTGTGCGATGTTAGCTGCAGAAGGAAGGTCCACTTGACTTCCTCCTAGAAGGTCTCTATCTTCAGGCTTGATGAAATTTAGCTCGGATTCTGAAAATTACAACAGAGACGGTGAATTCGATATGTTTTTGAACACCATGACAACAATAATGAAATATACAGGGTGGCGCATCGAAAACGAAACAGACGCATTTACTGGCAGCTCAGTTTTTTTTAAAACGCTCAGACCCCTCGATTTTGTTTTCGAGGAGAACACAAGTTTGGCAAAAAATCATGTTAGCACGTGCTGGGAGGGTTTGACATCACCCCCAAAATCTTAAATTGAAAGGGGGGTCGAGTGATACCTTATTTTAAAGGTATTTCAATTCCGTTTATAATGATATAAAATTAATGTACTTCAGTTTAGTAGTTTTGAAGATTTATTGATTTAAAGCTTAAATAAAAGTAATACATCATTGATAAATGCCTTTCCAAATTGCTTCAATTTGACCACGAACATCATGCTAATGACCATATCATGTTTCGGCTTACTTTTTCCACGTTCCACTGTAATGTTACAACTTATACGTATATCACTGTACCTTGTATTCTGCCGTTAGTGTTAAAAAGATCAACATCGGCTGGTTCGCTATCTTCGAATGGTACAACTTTGGCAGCGAAGGTAGTGTCGAATGGGTCGTCTATTTCTGCGACATCAGCATCGTCTCCTCCAGTCGCAGGCCTGCAAAGTTTTATATTTTAGTTATCTACAACTATAGTGAATGAATGAAGGAATACTTCGTTTCCTTTTTTTATACCGAATCACCCGCGCAGGCAGAAGCCTAAATGCCGGGACACCGCGGCTTCTACGAAGTTCCCAAAGAAATTTTGTAAATCCGATTTTGTACTGCAAAGGTTAGTAGAACTGGGAAAAGCTTCCTCTTGTAGATTGTTGCATAACCTCGACACCCTCGCGACAAAGGAGCGATCGTATCGGCCAGTTCAGGCCGAAGTCAGGCGGGTCTGTCTTGCAGGCAGAGCACTTAGGATCAAAGTCCGTTGGTGCAGCGATAGAAGAGAGCTAGTTCGCCGATGGCCAGCCGGTGCAAAAGGGTCCCGAGACTGTCTGTTAGAGAAGAGTCATCGATACTCTGGACAGCATCGACCTTTTAATATTACCGTTTTCTTCCATTTTACTTGACAGATACGTACTCTGAATCAAACGCGTTCCACTTCTTCTCATCAGGCAAAACTTCAGCAACAGGAAGATTGCCGATCACAGGAGGGATAGTCTTCACAACGTTACCAGGCTTCTTGATACTCTCAACGGCCAATAATTCAAACTCCACATCGTCGTCATCCTCTTCTTTCTTAGCGATGAGGTCAAACTCTTCTATGATATCCTTGCGGTCATCTTTAGCCTCTTCAGGTTCGCCTTTAACTACCGGCGCGGGCGGGTGTATGGGTTTGCTGAGGTCAATAGGAACGTCTGGTAGGTCGATGTCTTCGTCTAGGACTGTTTTCTTTGGCTCCTCGTAGTCAGCTATGAAACCAGAATAAACGAGATTTTTATGGTGAAAGTGAAACATTAGTGGTTCAGGACTTTTCCATGGCTATTCGGTGACGACCTTGGAGTTGTACTTGATTATGACATTAAAAGTCGAATCAAGGTCGAAATTAATACTTTTTTCAGACGTGGTCTTTATTGACAATCAGTTTGATCTTATACGGTAAGGTAATGGTAGAAACTCTCGTTGAAAATATCTTGGGGATATTTCTAGAGATGAAACAGCAGGAACTCTCAGTTTAACAGGAGCTTGTTGCTAGTGACCTTGAAACTGACCTTAGAGGTGGAATCAAGATAACATCAATTTTCACCAAATGTTTGTACGTAAAGTTTCTTCTTTTGTGGCGGTCGAAAGTACGAAGCTTCATCTTGATTTGACCTTTAATATCATGATCTATATCTGTTTCAAGCAGTGAGCAGACGGTTTTTACGATGACCTTAATCAGAATGTTGAAGATCAAAATGGTTTTGACCGAACCTTTGTTTGAATAGGAAATTTTTAGTTTTAAGCATTTCCAAGGTCATAAGTATAGACTACCATTAAGAAAATTGCGTTTACAACTATTTGACTGTCAAGGTCATGCTGAAGGTCAGTTTCAAGGTCATCAGTGGATAGTTGGAGATCCTGCTGCCTTTGGGACTTTAAATCTTTATCTTCAGAAAGGCCCTTGAAATATTTTAATAACGAGAGTTTTTGACGACGACCTTTGCCACGTCGTTCAAGGTCGAAATGATTTTCACGTCCGGTGTATCCACTTCCTTGGTCAAACTTATAAATAAAACAAATAATCCTGACAAATTGTCCTCTACGATCGAGGTCAATGTCAAATTCAAGGTCACCACGAACTATCTCGATGCACGTGACTTGATGATTGGATTAGAAACTTTGTAAAAAAAGTAATTTTCACCTGCTGCAATAGTTGCAGCTGTATCTTGATCAAAGCTGCCTAGGAGCAAATCTCTCTCTTTGAAGACTTGTCTCTTATTTGATACAGGTCTTTTGGTAGCACAGGTTGGTAGCTCGACCCTTCCAGTTAAAACTTCTACAGCTGCCCCTAGTGGAACTAATCGCTTCCCTTTGATCGAAACTTGAGGTCCTAATATAGCTCTGCAACAAAAAATGTATACAGGATATTTTCTACATATGAGCTCGATATTGGACAGTTTTATATATATATATAACTTGAGACAACGCCTTTTGTTGGGTACTTCGACAAAAATTTTAAGCAAAGAGGACTCTTTATACTTTTTTTATTCTCTCTAGCTTTCAATGGACTTTGCCATCATCATCAGGAGCTGCAATTACATTGATAACAGTAGCAACAATAGTGTAAAATGAATTTAAATTAACTTAACTTACAGTAGTATGTGATTATGTTGCTAATTGTTGTTTACGATCAGGATGAGGGAAACACCCAGTAACATGGTGAAAGCTGGATGAATGGTACAATGGTCAAAATTATATAAAATACACACAACTGTGTGACAAGAAAAAGTTAAAAACAGATTAAAAATGTTTAGAACATGAAAGCATTACATCGTGAAGCCACTTGATGATTGGATATATATATATATATATATATATATATATATATATATATATATATATCCAAATTTATGCCAAAGTAGGTACCTGTCAGCAATTGAAGTATCGAAGGGATCATCTCCGTCAGCAGTGAGCTCTGTAGGCGATTCAGGGATATTGGCTAGCTTTATCTCTCCAGTTGCAACAGCTTCGATATAAGCGGTGTCGAAGATATCGTCGTCTTCTTCCTCTTCTGATTCAGACTCGGATACCTGAATTTACAAAGAAAAAAAGTTGTTAGAAGATGATCAAATACAAAAAAGATGTAGATGGAAAGCGTTTAGTAGTAAGTAAGGGAACTACGGTGCTCGTTACAAATGATTGACCGATACTGTTCCGGCGGGTTTCTATTTGAAATAAATTACCTTGAAATGACCATGAAGGTGAGCTTTAAGGTCAAATATAAGATCACTCGTCAAAATTTACTAAAGAACTAACCTTGGTAGTTTGACTTTCAATGGTCAGCATGACCTTGGGCTTGAATTCGTATTTGAACGTGAAATTTTCCGGTCTTTTGATTGTGAGCATCGAAAATGGGGATTTCCATTAAAAATAAAGCTGACCTTGAAATGACCTTGAAGGTGAAAATTAAGGTCAAGTCCAAGGCCACAGTACAATTTACCAAAAACCTGATCTTGATAGTTGTTTTAATTTCTAATCCTATGAGATTTAGAGAGGTTTTCACATTTGACCTTTAGATGGCAAAGTGACCCTGAACTTCAATTTGCATTTGAACGTAGAATTTTTCATCAAAAATAGAGATGTCCAGAAAAAAATAAAGCTGACCTTGAAGGTGAAAATTAAGGTCAAGCAAGATCACCGTTCAGTCTCTCGTTAAATTTTACCACAGACCTGGCCTTGAGGCTTATTCTCATCACTCATCCTGTGAGATTCATAGATATTCTCTTAGCAGCACACATTTGATCTTCATTTGACCTTTAGTAGACAGCCTGACCTTGGACTTTTGTAATGTTTTTATTTATTGCCGGCATCCAAAATGGGGTTTATATTTGAAAAATGAAGTCGACCATGAATTAACCTTGAAGAGGAAGGTCAAGTGACCGTTGAATTCCTCGCTGAAAGTCACTGAAGATCTGAGCTTGATCTTTTCCAAAAATACCTTACCCGTTCCGGAACTTTTGTGTCACTCTGTATAATAAACAAACAAACCTCGACAATCCCAAGGTCAGCAGGATTGACTTCCCCAGTGGTACCTTGAGCACCTGTAACCGCAGCGGCTTCTGTTCGAGCTTCCTGTGCTGCTTGTTGCTGTTGACGTATGTGCTCTTGTTTAGCCTGTTCGATTTCAACCTCGGTAGGTTTTCGCTGAAAAAACGATGTGCTTCGGATGCGATCTAAGTCTCCCTGGGTCTTCTTTAGTATGTCATCGACACCTGCAAGTATAAATTTAGTCGCAATCACTGAGGTTTTTAAATAGTGTAAAACGTCGTGGCCCAGTTAGGTAAGCATCCTCACAAGCTGCAGCAGAACATTTATTCCCTACGGTAATAGAAAAGGGCCCTATCATCTACAGATGCTGGGAAGATGATAGAAACCAGATCTACATTCTAGTTTATCAAAGACTGGAGTCTGAGATATTAGTCATGAAGGAGTTTGATAGAGAAGAGACCAGGAAATGCCGCCGTAAATGTTTTTTTACAAATTCTTCATATTGTGATACTGACCTGAAGTCAAAGCCAGAAACTTCTTCCACTCTTCATTTTGTGGTTGCGATTCCCCGCTCTCAGCAGCTTGTTGCAGTTGTTGCTCGTGTTCCTTGCGGTACTTCTCTAACTCTTCAGGCTTGAAGAGATCGTCCTCTCCTTTCTTGGATTTCTTGTTTTTTTTCTTCTTTTTCAGTCCCTTGGTTATCTTGTGCATTATCCGACACTACGAGCATTTATGAGACTGGAAAGAAGTATCCAACTTGTGATTTTTGACCTTACTTTTAAGATTCATTGTTTGTCAGTTGTTGTTCGTTTTTGATCGCTTTAATATACTAAGTGACATATAAATCCGAACACCCAGTTTAAATGGTTTTATTTTAATAAAAGTTGGTGAATGTATTCATCTTGCTGTAAATAACAAGTGAAAAAATTTTCAGGCTTATCAGTTGGACATTCCGGTTTTTATACTGCTTTTTTTTAATTCACCAGCGCTCTAAAAATGAATATTTCAGCCGCAGTAAAGAATCAACGTTGGCGGATTTTGGTTCTTGACATCCTTTACGATCGGTTACGATGCCTAGAGTACGGAGACCTGTACGATTTCGTCAACTTAGTGACTTTGATAGGGGCCGTATAGTGGGACTTCGGGAAGCTGGACTTTCTTTTCGGGCAATTGCAGTTAGAGTGCAAAGAAGTGTAGACACTGTGGTTAGGTGTTGTCAGGCATGGCTTCGAGAAGGCCGTACGCAAAGAGCAAGGGGCACTGGACGCCGCCGTAGAACAACAGACGGTGAAGATCGCCGCCTAAGATTATTGGCCTTAAGGGACCGTTTCTCCACTACCGGGTCCATTGCAAATGAATGGTTTGCAGAACACGGAAGACCTATTGGCATGCGAAGTGTTTACCGACGAATGAGAAGTTTTGGCTTGTTTTCATACCGGCCACACTGGGTCCTCCCTTTAACTCGAGAACACCGACGTAATCGCCTTGAGTGGTGCAGACAACGGTCACTCTGGGATCAGGAATGGAACAGTATTGCCTTTAGTGACGAGTCTCGATTTTGTTTAGGCATGCACGATGGTAGTGCCAGGGTTAGAAGGCGACGTGGTGAAAGGAGGAGTCCACAGTTTTTTGTTGAAAGACATGTTTATCACACTGTTGGAGTTATGGTTTGGGGTGCTATAGCTTATGGTTCCAGGTCACCTTTAATCTTCATCAGAGGTAACATGAACGCGCAGCGTTATATCCACGAAGTTCTAGAACCCCATCTTTTACCCTATCTTGACACCCTGGCAGATCCAACTTTCCAACAAGATAATCCCCGACCACATGTTGCAAGAGTCACAATAGACTTCTTTCAACATAATGATGTCACATTGTTACCATGGCCACCAAGATCTCCCGACTTACCCCCGATTGAGCACGTGTGGGATATGATGGGTATGAGATTGCTCAATTTGCAACGTCCTCCTCAGACTCTAGAAGCACTTCGAGAGGAGTTGGTGGTTGCCTGGAATGAGATACCACAGGAGGACATTGACCACCTGATCAGAAGCATGCCTAGGCGCGTTGGAGAATGCGTAGCGCATCAGGATGCATCCACACATGATTAAAGGTCAAAGGGCTTTAAAGCAGTACAATCATTTTGAAATTTTTATCATTTACTTATTATGCGTCATTAAGTACTTATACAAAATTTTATTAAAATAAAACCATTCAAACTGGGTGTTCGGATTTATATGTCACTTAGTATAATATGCTGTCTTGTTTCGATAGATCTTCTACCTAAGATAGAGGTTAGTTGCTACGTTTTCGTTCGTTGTCTTGACGTGAGGCCAAGCTTAGACGGTGCTGATGAGTGGCCAAAAGCAGTGGCGGATTTAAGAGGGGGCGTCTGATACTTGCTTTTGTAATAACACAATTGTGTTACTTTCTGACACATCATGGCGACACAGGCATACTAACTATAATTTGTAGCTATTCTTGCGCCTCTTTGACATCACTTAAGTTTACAGCACAATTCTTAGTATTTATACGTATATACGAGTATTGTGGCTTGTGACAAATCTAAGTCTGAGTAATATATTAGCTATACAGATTGCACTCAAAAAGTGATGTATGTTCTGTTTGTTGCTCAATGGTAATTTGAAAAGTGTGTAAAGCTTGACCGATTTTGTTCGGGGTTGGTGTTGCAGCGAAGCACTATATTAGATGAACGCCTAAATTGGAAATAGACATTTATGAGATTTGTCTGGCGGTGCGCCTGTGGCCTGTCCAGAAAATGCATCCATCGATACTTAAACTCAATACCACAATTTTTTTATGTTTGAATCTTTACTATTACTATACTAGTTAATTATTAATGTCACGTACTTATTTTGTTCTCATATAATAAAATATTACCTTACTGAGGATTTCTGAGCACTTTTCATGTTTTTTTTTTTCAAGCTGGCATTGACCAGATGGAACATAATGGATTTAAGGAGCAATAATAGGATAAATTCTAGAAGTTCCGCTGAGATTGAAAAAATACCAGCGACGAAATCCTAAATCTGCCCTTGGTCGAAAAGCACAAAATATCGGTCCGGAAGGACAAAACCAGTATCTTTAGATAGTAGCTATTCCTCGTTTTTTCATTTCAGAAACAATTGACTTTGTTTCAATCGACTGAAAATTGATAACAATTTTCTCGCCAAGTGTCCAACTTCATGGCCACGTTCTTTTAATGATAAATATCCAATTAATATAAGATACAAATAAAGCAGTGTTTTATTTGTCGAATAAGAATTAGGTTTTGAAATCCGTACATGGTTTCGCTATTAACTTTCAGATTCAAGGTTATCGTTCCCTGATCGCAATAATATTGGAAATGGAAACAAATTAGAGGGTATGCGTATCTCAATTCAAACAAATTTTTTTGCCCTTATACGCCAGGGTACCCCTAATGTTGCTAAAGTCGTATTCGACATCTGGACCTATAATAACTAAAGCAATATCACCACTATCATCTACATATTATACCATCCTTAGCAGACATAATCTTCAAAAACTAGACGCTCTAAAGTCCAATATAAGGCCTCTTTCTTTGTACACCTGTTGTACTGCAGCACTGTATAGAGGACAAAGGACCAATCTGATACTAGAACTGTAAAAGGGCTTTCAATATAAAATACATTTCTATTTATAGTCTCTCTATCAGGATTTGCCAGGCACAAGAATGACTTTCACCCCGAAAATCGTACGAGGACACTGCAATTCATATTCCATCGAATCAATACCGACCATCACGACCCCCGCAGAGCACACGCATTTGTGCCGGAGCATCGAGGTTGTTTATCAAAATTTAAGTACCTACCGTTAAAAAATACAGCCTTAGCTGCTAACTTCTAGGGGCACTACACGGGACATTTATCGGAAATGAAAGGAATCAAGGTGGCGACGACGCCGACGCTGTAGCGTCGCGACGGTCAGCGGATCGATAACGACCGGGTGCGTGTACGGGGGTGGTTAGTAAAGCTGTGGATGTGGGGTGCTATCTGGTGGCGGTTCTAGATACCGCTTGCGCAGTTATACAGGGTGTAAACGTTACGATAGTCATTGTTTAAATGGGTGATACAGCGGGTTAAAAGTAGCAAAAAGTATCATATAACGTGGAGGTCTAAACGGCATTTTTTAGATAAAAGCGACTTTAAAGCAAAATAAAATCTGACGCCACAATGCCAGAAGCAAATTACGGCGGAACGCAGTGTAAATACAGATGGAGTTTGTTGTTTTTGGCTTGACTTAGAAAAACTTAATGCCATTTATTTGTTAATTATCCAATTTAAAAACGTTTTAGATTAGATTATAAAAATTAGTAAGATTGTGGTGGTTGTGATCGATATAAAACCATTTAGACAAAACTATTGACTTTTGGACCATGGGTCACATGAACTTTTCGACTACCTATTTCAATAATTACTACCATAACGTTTACAATCTGTACAGTATGATCTGAAGTGTTTTAACGCAGAAAGTGTATGCTTAGAAAAGTTAGCTGATTATTATGTGTTCAAAAATTATTTGTATCTATCGGGTTTTCCAATAGCGACTTGACAACTTTGCACTTTCACTGTGAATGCACCTTCAAATCAATTACCGAACTGTCAATGTCAAGAAAACATCACGAACGAACAATGCTTATAAACAATTAAAATTTACCACCGAAATTCACGTTACAGTCAACAGAGACATGTTGCAACGTTACTTCTTTGGTCAATTGGATGGGTTAGATATTAGTGATATGTGGTTTTAACAAGACTGCGCCACAAGTCACACGGCCGGTGAAAAAATCGACAAACTGAAATCAAAATTCGGTGAACGTGTTATATCGAGAAATGGTCCTGTCGAATGGCCGCCTAGATCGTGCGATTTAACACCTCTGGACTTTTTTGTGGGGCTGCATTAGATCATTGGTCTATGAGCAGGCACGTAGCCAGGGGGCTCAGGGGGCTTGAGCCCCGCCCCCCCGAAATCCGAAAGAATTTTTTTTCAGATTAAAACATAAAAGACAAACTGAGAAAATTCAAGTGATCTCAATCATATAATGTAAATATATCAACCAAATATACTAAGTGACATATAAATCCGAACACCCAGTTTAAATGGTTTTATTTTAACAAATGTTGGTGAATGTATTTATCTTACTGTAAATAACAAGTGAAAAAATTTTCAGCCTTATCAGTTGGACATTCCGGTTTTCATACTGCTTTTTGTTTAATTCACTAACGCTCTAAAAATGAATATTTCAGCCGCAGTAAAGAATCAACGTTGGCGGATTTTGGTTCTTGACATCGGTTACGATCGGTTACGATGCCTAGAGTACGGAGACCTGTACGACTTCGTCAAAAGTTCGTCACTAAGCTTAGTGAGTTTGATAGGGGCCGTATAGTGGGACTTCGGGAAGCTGGACTTTCTTTTCGGGCAATTGCAGTTAGAGTGCAAACAAGTGTAGACACTGTGGTTAGATGTTGTCAGGCATGGCTTCGAAAAGGCCGTACGCAAAGAGCAAGGGGCACTGGACGCCGCCGTAGAACAACAGACCGTGAAGATCGCCGCCTAAGATTATTGGCCTTAAGGGACCGTTTCTCCACTACCAGGTCCATTGCAAATGAATGGTTTGCAGAACACGGAAGACCTATTGGCATGCGAAGTGTTTACCGACGAATGAGAAGTTTTGGCTTGTTTTCATACCGGCCACACTGGGTCCTCCCTTTAACTCGAGAACGCCGACGTAATCGCCTTGAGTGGTGCAGACAACGGTCACTCTGGGATCAGGAATGGAACAGTATTGTCTTTAGTGACGAGTCTCGATTTTGTTTAGGCATGCACGATGGTCGTGCCAGGGTTAGAAGGCGACGTGGTGAAAGGAGGAATCCACAGTTTTTTGTTGAAAGACATGTTCATCACACTGTTGGAGTTATGGTTTGGGGTGCTATAGCTTATGGTTCCAGGTCACCTTTAATCTTCATCAGAGGTAACATGAAGGCGCAGCGTTATATCCACGAAGTTCTAGAACCCCATCTTGACACCCTGGCAGATCCAACTTTCCAACAAGATAATGCCCGACCACATGTTGCAAGAGTCACAATAGACTCTTTCAACATAATGATGTCACATTGTTACCATGGCCAGCAAGATCTCCCGACTTATCCCAAATTGAGCACGTGTGGGATATGATGGGTAAGAGATTACTCAATTTGCAACGTCCTCCTCAGACTGTAGAAGCACTTCGAGAGGCGTTGGTGGTTGCCTGGAATGAGATACCACAGGAGGACATTGGCCACCTGATCAGAAGCATGCCTAGGCGCGTTGGAGAATGCGTCGCACATCAGGGTGCATCCACACATTATTAAAGGTCAGCTACGGGATGACCTTCTCAGATAGAGGGGCAACTTTTTGTCAAAATGAGCTTTATATCCCTTAGTTTCCCGTGACTTGAAAGTTTTTTAAATCTCGATCATCATCTACACAGAGTGTTTGAAAACTGAAATGGAGCGCCCTGTATATTTTTACGGTATTGGGTTGACTTTGACATCACTTGCTCAAGGACTACATTCGTCGACGTCATAGTCAAACGGAATTGCAAAACAGGCCTGTGATCCGTGAATCAGTTTATCACACAGTGGAAGAAGTTTACATGCAAACAAGGCCGCGTCTTTCACTTTAAACGAAAATAGTGTCGAGTAGATTTACTCTCCATTTTGTTAAGTGTATCTATTTTCAAAATGTCCACACACTACGTGCAAAGTGAAAACCTCAATACACAAATGCTCCTTCACGATTGCTGAAATAGGCATTCAAAAGTCCCTATCGTTTTGCATATAGTAACTTTGCCGAGTTACTGGAATAATTCCTAATATTCTCGTGCTATAAAAAAAGTGTTGTTCTGTTTTTCTACGGTGCTTTTCATTTTCTCTTATTTTCTAATGATTACATTGAACCTTCGCAAGCTTCCTTGTAAGTAACGGCAAATGTAGCTAGGTTCTATATAAAATGCTGCTAATTTTGTATTCCAGATTAAAGCATTGACCAATGTACAAAATCTATTATCGAACCTATGGTAATATTCTTTGCGAGGGAAATGAGCTAAAAATATAACACAGTTTGCAATTACACTTATCACAAAAATTGTGTCAACGCGGAATCTCACTTACGAAAGGAATGCGCCATATCGTGTATACGGTATTTTTGAAGAAATACCTCAGAAAGTATTTGGTGCTTGACTGATATTTAAGCCACACTCGAGAAATCTGCATAATAGCTCTGTTTGTACAACCAATCTTGAACGGTTTAATGCTTCCAAAACACGGTTCTGTGCCTTGACGAACAAAAAGCGTCCTGGCGCTCATCCGGTTCCGATGGATGGCCGAGTTCTGCCGGTCATTTCCACTCGTCGGAGTCCAGATCACCGAGGATTTGATCTAGCATGAACACATCTCATCAGTAGCGATAACTGTTGGAAAAAAGCCTGGCTATTTATTTAGGGCTAAGAATTAACATACTTTTCTCCGCATGATCTCCTCCCTCTATACAAGGCCGAATATCGAGTACTGCTCACAAGTTAGGAGTGCTGAAGCCCCGACTACTTTATACAGGATGTCCCAGAAGTCGACGTCAAGCCGAAACCGGGTGATAGGCAAAGTCATAACAGCTATCAGAAAAATATTTAAAAAAATTGTATGTATGTGTTTTGAAAATTATAGGTCTTTGAAAAAGATATAGAAATTTCACACCCTACGGCAGTCTGTCAACTCCTGTTACTACAAATATTAACTTTTTTTGGATTTTACTTTTACAATGTAATGATGAATAATGCATCTTCAAACTGGTGTCTCAATCTTACTGCCAACTTTTCTCGTTCAGGAAAAATTGCCACTTATTTCCCAACCAAGTATTCCAAAGTAAAACTTTGCTCAACTTTAACTGGCTGTACTGGAAAAAATGTACTACGAGAGTTTGGCAAGTAACCTTAAAAGTTGGCGCATTTAATAAGAATTCCAAAATGGTATAACACTTAGAAGATTACTCGTTAACTTATGCACAATTTTTATTTGAAGAAAAACTGATGAAAATTTTTCAAAATTTCCTAATTAAACAGCGATTATGAAAACGCACAAGGACCCTTAAGGATAACTGTTTGCACAACAGTGGGCGTCAAAATGCTGCTGCTGATGATTTACCTTTACAGCAAATGCTCAAACTGTTTTCCTTCAGCCGCAATACACGCTCGACATCTTAAAAAAGATCGGGTTATTAAACGAGCGAATCCACGGTTATTAACAAACTCAGCTGCTTCCAATAGTCTTTGCCGTAGCTCAGCTATATTTTGAATCGGCTTGAAATACACTTTTTCTTTTACAGTTCCTCAGTAAAAAAATATAAAGGATTCAAATCTGGTGACCGGGCTGGCCACGGTATTGTACCAGACCGCCCTATCCATCTGCCTGGAAAGTTTCGATGGAGATACTCTCTCACTGAGAGTGCATAGTGCGCTGGGGAGCCATCATGCTGAAACCACATGTCCGTGTAAATACTCAGTGGCACGTCCACCAATAAATTTTGTACATGATTTTTCAAAAAATCCAAATAAACTTCAACAGTCAAAGTCTCTGGGAACTCAAACGGACCGATTATTTTACCATTTAAAATTCCTGTCCAATGGTTTATCTTGAAGCGATATTGAGATTTATCTTCTCTCATCAAATGTGGGTTTGCTACGTGCCACTCGTGTAAGTTATGCAGGTTCATGTACCCATCTTTCTTAAATGTGGTCTCATCCGACCATAAAATTTTTTCAAAGAACCGTGGATCTTCCCTGTGTCTTTCTAACATTGTGCGACAAAAAGCAATTCGGGGCTCATAATCCCGGGGCAGGAGAGGTTGAACACGCTGTATGTGGTATGGATGAAGCACATCACTTACTTGCTATTGCACACTTTGATACCGATCAGTACTCCTTCGTTTACTGCGCATCTTTACATGTTCGTGCTTGTTGATTTCGTACTGTTACTAATTTTAATTGCTCTTCAAAACAACATTTGCTTTCCTTAGACTATCTTTGATAGTGTGATTGTGCAGTGCCGCTATGTCCGTGTACACCGTACAAGAATATGCTTACATGCACCTCATTTATGGGGAATGCAGATGCAACGCTAGTGCTGCAGCGAGACTTTACTGTGAGAGGTACCCGAATGCAGCTCGTCATCCAGATCATCGAGTGTTCACAAATGTGCACCGCTTACTGTTCTCAGAGGGCCAACTACCAAACCAATCACACGGTGAGGGAAGATCTTTCCTTCCTTACGAAGACGTGGTGCTAGGAGCTGTCGAAGAAGACCCGAGTACTTCAGTGCGTGCAATAGAACTAAAAACAGGTGTGCCCAAAAGTACAGCCCTTAGAATCTTGCAATTAAACGTGCTCCATCCATACCACGTACAGCGTGTTCAAGCTCTTCTGCCCCGGGATTATGAGCCCCGAGTTGCTTTTTGTCGCACAATGTTAGAAAGACACAGGGAAGATCCACGGTTCTTTGAAAAAAATTTATGGTCAGATGAGACCACATTTAAGATGGGTACATGAACCTGCATAACTTACACGAGTGGCACGTAGCAAACCCACATTTGATGAGAGAAGATAAATCTCAATATCGCTTCAAGATAAACCATTGGAATTTTAAATGGTAAAATAATCGGTCCGTTTGAGTTCCCAGAGACTTTGACTGCTGAGGTTTATTTAGGTTTTTTGCAAAATCATTTAGAAAATTTATTGGAGGACGTGCCACTGAGTAATTACAGGGACATGTGGTTTCAGCATGATCGCTCCCCAGCGCACTATGCACTCTCAGTGAGAGAGTATCTCCATCAAAACTTTCCAGGCAGATGGATAAGGCGGTCTGGTACAATACCGTGGCCAGCCCGGTCACCAGATTTGAATCCGTTAGATTTTTTTTACTGGGGAACTGTAAAAGAAAAAGTGTATTTCAAGCCGATTCAAAATGTAGCTAAGCTACGGCAAAGACTATTGGAAGCAGCTGAGTTTGTTAATAACCGTGGATTCGCTCGTTTATTAGCCCGATCTTTTTTAAGAAGATGTCGTGCGTGTATTGCGGCTGAAAGAAAACAGTTTGAGCATTTGCTGTAAACGTAAATCATCATCAGCAGCATTTTGACGCCCACTGTTGTGCAAACAGTTATCCTTAAGGGTCCTTGTGCGTGTGTTATACCATTTTGGAATCCTTATTAAATGCGCCAACTTTTAAGGTTACTTGCCAAACTCTCGTAGTACATTTTTTTCCAGTACAGCCAGTTAAAGTTGAGCAAAGTTTTACTTTGGAATACTTGGTTGGGAAATAAGTGGCAATTTTTCCTGAACGAGAAAAGTTGGCAGTAAGGTTGAGACACCAGTTTGAAGATGCATTATTCATCATTACATTGTAAAAATAAAATCCAAAAAAAGTTAATATTTGTAGTAACAGGAGTTGACAGACTGCCGTAGGGTGTGAAATTTCTATTTCTTTTTCAAAGACCTATAATTTTCAAAACACATACATAAAATTTTTTTAAATATTTTTCTGATAGCTGTTATGACTTTGCCTATCACCCGGTTTCGGCTTGACGTCGACTTCTGGAACACCCTGTACACATTTTAAATATCCCACTTTTTTTAATATATTCAGTTTTCATCAAAAATACGATTTTTGTTGCATTTCTTTTTACGGACACCCCTCTGAACTGACACTTTCAATCGGTCCCGTCCAAAGGAGATTCCACTGTATATAAAATTGTAAATTCATCGTACACTTTTTATGATAAGAATTGAAGTACTCGTATATCCTAACAAATTAAAATAAAGCTTTGCGATAGCTTGAAGAAGATACTTTATTCCATTTGCTTATAGTGATGGGGAGCAACTGACAACTATATACATATTTTAAATATCTGCTCTGGTCAAACCTTTTTGGGAAGATAAAGAATTTTGATGAAAGCAGACTATCGGTCTATACACATCGGACTCTCTGGCAATACTTACGTTGTGACTCCCATTCCGCTAGATAAACTTACTCAAACACTGCAATATCGAAAACCAGGATGAATGCGAGTATTCCGCGGTGTTACAAAGGGTTAAATTGAAGGGCAATGTCGTTCTTTGGCTCGCGGCGGCGGGTGCCATGAACGATCCACTGTTCCGTCGTTATCGATTGTGCGCGAGAATCCTGCCCCAATTTCCTACAAAATCCTTAAGGCTCCGACACACTCGAGCAGTGGCGGATAAAGGGAGCTGGTTGAAAAGGGTGGCGGCTACTTAATCAACGACCGAGAAGACTCACTCTAGAAATTCTTCCCAACTAAAATTTCATGTTTTGTAAATGTCCGAACAAGCATTTTTCATATCTCAAGATGATAAAGCTCGAGTCCCTAGTGGGGTAACTGCGGCAAATAAGCAAGCACCTCTTCTAATGCACATGGAATATAGAATCAAATTGGGTAATCGCTGATCGTCATAAATTAATACCATCTGTTTATGCTGGTATCAAAACCACTTCCAATATGCTAGGACAACCGCAAGCCGTTGGATATTCTGGACCAACATACATCGCTGTTCGAAGTGGAAAGCATAGTTCATCTACTGCTAATAGCCATGCTCAGGATTTCGAGACGCTTCTCGAACTTGAAGAGTTTCGACCATTAGCTAAAACTGACCGTTGACTAGTAAAACGAGTGGTAATCATGACGGTTGATGGAGGGCCAGATGAAAATCCACGTTATCAAAAAGTCATAGGGTTTGCTATACAACACTTTAAGGGACATGATCTCGATGCATTGTTTTTAGCTACCAATGCTCCTGGAAGAAGTGCGTATAACAGAGTAGAGCGCAGAATGGCTCCTCTTAGTCGAGAACTGGCTGGTTTAATATTGCCTCATGACGATTTTGGGTCTCCTTTGGATGAACGTGGCGTTAAAATTGATGAACATTTAGAAAGATCTAATTTCGAATTTGCAGGAAATGTACGTATATTAGCTGAAGTATGGAGTTCAATGGAAATTGATGGGTATAATGTTAATGCAAAATATGTTGGGGCAGGTGAACAAGATCTTCCTGATTTTTCAGACATTAAATGGTATTCATGAGAGCCAATACTTGCTTCAAATTGTAAAATGTAGAAATACAAAATGCTGTCGTCCAAGAAGTGGCTTATTCAGATTACACTGATCAACAGCCAAAAAATATCCTAAATAAAATCAACAAAATATTACTATTTTTAATGTGCTAAAACCGGAATGAAACTTATTTTTTCAATATTAGTTCGTTTTAGAGATACGGTAATTATATGTGTTCCTGCTGTGACAGTGTTAATATACTGTAATTCACAAGAATGCACGTGCTACATTTTTATATTCGGCAAGGAAAGATGATGTAATCGGCATGATTGTGTTACGTTATACATACGTGTACATTAATTATATTGTTTTATATTAGCCATATTTTCCTCAGTTGGCTGACAGCGTTCATGCAAGATGTCTCGAAAGTGTGTAAACAATCCAGATCAGTTTTGTTACGTGTGTGGTGATGTGACTTTTGCGACTCAGAGACGGTCTATTACTCCACTAATAACAAAGGCATATCAGCTTTATTTCGGTTGTAAACTAGGTGATCAAGACAAACAGTGGGCACCCCACATCTGCTGTAATACATGTGCTTCAAGTCTGAGGAGCTGGTTAAATGGCAAAAAACGGTCTATGCGCTTTGCTGTCCCAATGGTTTGGAGAGAGCCTACAAATCATATTAATGATTGTTACTTTTGCATGGTACCTTGTGTTGGACAAGCCACAGGTATGTCCAAGAAAAAAAAATCGGTTATTAACTACCCAAACATACCATCTGCGATGAGACCTGTGCCTCACAGTGACGAAAATCCTATTCCAAAACCCCCAGAATCCTACACTTGCGAATCAGAAAACGAATCAGATCATGGCGATCGAGTGATTCGTCAGGAAGAAGATATGCCATCAACGTCAAGAGATCCTGATTTTATACCGAGCACGTCATGTCACCAACCGCACAAAATAACATAGTCAGAATTAAATGATCTTGTAAGAGATTTAGAACTTCCAAAATGTAAGGCAGAGTTACTTGGATCAAGACTGCAGCAGTGGAACTTGTTAGAAGACGATGTTTCGGTATGTGTTTTTCGTAAACGCCACAAAGACTTAGAACCATTTTTCAATATGGAGAATAACTTGGTTTTCTGCAGTAACATTAACGGCTTACTGGCGGCTTTAAATATAAACTATAACCCAGAAGAATGGAGATTGTTTATAGACAGTTCAACATTGAGTTTAAAGGCAGTGTTATTGCATATTGGAAATATTTTACCATCTCTCCCTGTAGGGTATGCAGTTCACATGAAAGAATCATATGACAATATGAAGTACCTATTGACATGCATAAAATACGATGAGCACCAATGGCATATTTGTGGCGATTTGAAAGTTGTTGCACTTTTACTTGAGCTGCAGCTAGGCTACACAGAGTTTTGCTGTTTTTTGTGTGAATGGGACATTCGTCAAAGGCACTTCATTACACCAGACAAAACTGGCCTGTTTGTCAATTCCTAGAGCCAGGTCAAAAAAATGTACAGCATATGTCATTAGTAGATTCGAAAAAAATTTTGTTACCACCACTGCATATCAAGTTGGGCCTAATGAAAAACTTTGTCAAGGCATTAGATAGAGATGGGTCAGCTTTTCAATACCTGCGTCAGAAATTTCCAAGACTAAGTGAGGCAAAGGTTAAAGAAGGTATTTTTGTTGGGCCACAGATTCGAAATATTTTGAAAGATACACAGTTTGAAAACACTTTAACAGGTATTGAAAAAACTGCTTGGAATGATTTCCGTCTGGTGGTCACTAATTTCTTGGGAAATAGAAAAGCTGACTACTATAAAACCCTTGTCAAAAATATGCTGTCATCGTATCAAAAGATGGGCTGTAATATGTCTCTTAAGATACATTTCCTACACTCACACCTGGACTTTTTTCCTGACAATTGCGGAGCCGTAAGTGATGAGCACGGCGAACGTTTTCATCAGGATACTTAAACAATGGAAAAAAGGTACCAGGGAAAGTGGAATCCTTCCATGCTTGCAGACTACTGTTGGACTCTTGGTAAAGATGCTCCAGAAACGATCCGTAAAAGAACAGCAAAAAGACAGCGCATATAGTGATTCTTATAAGTATATGAATCTTGTTACTTTTTTTAATATATCTTTAAAAATAAAAAGTTTTTTTCTAAACCGCAACTAATTTTTTTATTTCATTATCATTTTTGGATTCAGTGCCCCAAAATTAACAAAGAAGTGCACTTTTCCCACAAGATACAATTAAAAAACTAAAATTTGTTGTCCAGTGTTACTAGACAATAGGTTTCTTCCACCACCTGTAAAAGTAAAACAAACAGTTGACGACTTGGTTTTGGTTGAAGGAAGGCAATTTCTTAATCTTCCAGTCAATAGAGCTCTACGCTTAAGTGCCTCACTCAAAGATTTCCTGCAAATGCCCTACGATTATTTTTGTCCGATGGTAAAATTGAGGCTATCCAGTCGAACATGCAAAACGTGTGGTCTTTATCATGTCAAGTCACTAAATCGTCACATCGAAAATATCCATAAAAAAGTAAACACGCACACTGATAGGGAAGTTAGACCTGTATCAGTCGCTGCTCGTCGTGCTAATGAACTGATGTGCATTATTCAAAATTTAGAGCACCATCATGTTGAATGGCTCGATGAGAATGACGTGGACATTCCAAAATCCGATCAAAGCGAGCGAACTCACAACACTGAGCAGCAATCGAAGCAATCCAATGTCATCGAAAACTTAGAATCATGGATTCGGGTTTCATGGACTGAAGACTGTTAATTTGAATTTAATATATGTACCAAAAATTTAAGATAAGTTTGTTATGTTAGTAAGATATAATATTTTTGTCCTTTACTCTACGTAGAATACCGTATCAGTAAAATATAATCTCTATCCTAAATCTATTTTCTTATTTTTCAAATTATAATTATAACGTTATAATTGTAATATTAAAAAAAACAATACATTAATTGACAAATGTTTACGTAAGCATGGGGGAAGGGGGTAAGAGCTTTGCTTACTTTTGCTGACAAGGGGGATGGGGGAGTAAATAATTGTGATAAATCTGCTTACGTAATACTTGAACGGCCCCTAGCACGCAACAGTTATGAAACAGTTTTATTGAATACAGTTATAGAACTAGAATAACACAGACTTATAAAAGTTGTTTTATTATCTTAGATGAAGCTTTCTTGCTTTTACTAGCACTAAAAGTTTACCTTTGTTGTTAAATTGCATCCACTCAGATTAATTTGTCTGTAAATGATCTTTGATACAACAAAAAAGCAAGAATTAGATCTTTTTAGCAAATATAACATGTTTGAGAAACTACATCAGCTATGTTGCATTTAGTACTGATATATAGGTACACCCAATGCCAGACACAGAAATTCGCTTTGTAATCTGATGATTGATATTTTACTGCCTAAGAAATTTTTTTGTCTTATACAGAATGTTTCTTAATGATATGCGAATATTCAAGGGTGTGAATCTGCATGACATATTAATGTTACTACGCTATATAAACTATGGTCCAAAAAGGTTTCCTTACAAAAACTCGGGGTGTTGAAGGTTTAGAAAAAAAATGGAAACTTTTGGACCATTGTTTATAAAGCAAACATTAATTTTTCATATCATATACACTATACACTAAAGTAGTAAATTAAGACATTCGTTCAAAATATGGCTTCCTAAAATACGTTTGCCTCCTTGAGAGCTCTTATAAAACGTGTTTCCTTTATAAGATATATTAAGAAAATATACCCAGGAACATTAGAAGTGTTATACCCAGAAAAAATCATTTGAAGAGGAGAACCCGTCAATTACGGAATATGATTTAATTTTTTATCACGAATGCGAAATGTTTAAGCAGAGAAACAAAGAAGCTGGTTAGCTCCAATTTTTATAAAACGATGCACGCCTATGTATACGGACGTCACAGGTATAGGGGAGGAAATCGAATACCTGATATCTGATTAAGTGCATACTGAAGTGATTGTCTTGATCGTTCTGCCAAACCATATCTAAATAAAATGTTGGGATAAAGA